GTTGCAATCCATGTATAGGAGTTTACAAAAGTAGCGTGTCAAGGGTGTTTGTCGATGTGTTTTTGTTGTGGTGTTGCATCGATGTAGTTTTGTTGTGGTGTTGCTTCATAGAGTAGTATGCATTTCATGTAACGCTTTTTCTTATTTTTCTCTCGTAAACAAGTGTGTAACAATTTTTTGTCTCAATGTTTCGCCCATAATTGGGTAATTCTCTTATGCTTAATTAATCGGTCGTGGGGTTTGATCTCCTCTTTTGAAAAGAAAATGAAGTGGGCAAGCCGTAAAGGATAAATCAGATTACACCATCTTGATTCCTGAAACTCATTCAAAGTTCCTAGTGCTAGAAAATGCAGGCTTTTGTGAAATCAACTTGCTTTTGAATATTTCTTTCAGGCTTCCATTGTACGAGTTCCGCCAGCCAACAGCACTGACGAATTCTCGAAGAGAAAAAAACAGCACTGACGAACTTTTTGCAAATCCTGCGAATTATTCCTGGATCAGAAAATACAACTGTGTCATCGACTTGTGACTTCATATAACACTGAATGCCAAGTACAGATCGGGGCCCAAAAACATCAGTTCGTGTCAACTTTGCTGGAGCACGGACAAAGATCACGGGCGAGAAATACAGGCGTGCGTACCATATGAACGCTTAAAATGCTTGAAGGTCCAAATTGAAGCAGACGGTGTTTCTGTTTCAGGCCATGCAACTTTATTTTTCTTGAACATGCATTACCGACATCATGATGGGCAATGAACTCCTCTTCTACAAAAATAAATAAATTATACTGTATACTTAAAAAAAGAAGTAAGTATGCATTATGCTTACTTGGTGCCTCTGATTATACAGCAAAACAATTTACTGTTCTCTCGACGATGCAACACAAAGCTCTAAACAATAAAGATAGAATTAGCAAATATTTGCAACGTTATGATCTCAAATTCTTAAGCCCTTGCATGATGATGGACGACACTAAATTATTTCTTAATAGCTACAACTAGAATGAAAAATGTTTGTGAAGTTTGATTATGAATACTTATAACATTTTTTTGGGTAGAACTGGAGTCCTTGTCAGCAAAGTGTCAAAAAAGAGTCATGCCCAATCCAACTTCAAGGTCCCGTTTAGGGAGAACAATGTTGAATGATGATGCAACATCACCGGCGTACAAGGCACGAATTTCAGTGTAAGTTAGTGCGTAAAAGAGAAGGAAAGAAAGATGTGGTAACAAAACTTTGAGGATAATCTTATTTCTTGCCTCATGTAGCCGATCAATTGGTCACTGTGATTTTTGCCACTAATGGTGATATACTTCCACGTAATTCACTGAATGTTGATAAAAACAACTAAATACCCACGTACTATCTCCGTCCTGATTTATTGGTCTTTTAGTATTTTGTGCCGAATTTTGATCATGGATTTAGTTAACTAAATGTTAATGTATGTCACAAAAAATAGTATCATTGAAAATTATATTTAAATATAAATTCAACGATATAATTTTTTATGACACGCATTAACATTTTGTTAGTTAAACCTATGGTCAAATTTTGACACAAAATAAGAAAAAGACCAATAGATCAGGACGGAGGTAGTAAATTACAATCAATATTTGATGTGTACCAGACAAGTGATTACACATATTATGCTCCCCACATAAGTTCACTACAATGAATTGAGTATGCTGCTAGAGATAAGAATGCCAAGAGAATGGTCTAGGGGGAGGCGACCTCGATATGCTCCGAGGAAACACTTCGGTGTCCTCCTTCCCCACGATGTCAGCACAGGAGAAGTTCATGTTCTTCTTATGCTCCAGCATCTCTAACCATGGAGCCATTATTATGTCTCCCGCAAAACCGGGGTCATCAAAGGCTGGCTTGAGGAAAATTAAATCATTCTTGATTATCCAGTTGTCGCACAACACTTTACATCCAGTCTTTTCAAAGTTTCATCAAATGATGCTATTGCAATGTGGAAGCAGTGCGATGCAGCCCTGTCATTGCACCAACATTCTTGTCATTCGAGTTTCCGAGCTGTAAGCTTGCCGTCCTCCTAGTCATAGGCTTTGGCATGAAGGGGGTGCCCAACATTTTATCAAGGCCTTCGGCATTGTACTTCACATACTTGTTTGCATTGATGTCCCGCTCAACAAGCGGCCCGTAGTTCTGCATGAAGCTACGATAAACAGGCACTATAGCCTGCAGCACAAGGTGGCACACCCTCATCCTTGTCTAGTGTGATCCAGGCGGACATGCTTCTGATACATCTCATCAAAGCTGGCGTTGAATGATTTGAGTCCTTGCTTCACCAAGTCTCTTGCTGTAGCCTGGCCCTTGGAGAACAAGATCAAACACTCCCTGCTCAGCGGGGGCGTACGTGTTCCTCGGCTCTCCCTTAGAAACAGTGCCGCGTAGTGGTAACCTATCGATCCGCGAACCGGTCCGGACATCTGCTCTCTCACAAATCGAGTGAGGGGGAGGGCTTTTGCGGTCGTCTGGATTGCTGCCACACACTCATTCGACACCCCGGTCCCACCTGGCTCACGCACTCTTCCGCGCGAAGCGGTTGTCGCGCATTCATACCTCTCGAGAGTGACGTCACCACATCCATTCCGACCTAGACCGAACGCGACCTCTCACTCTCGGGGGAGGTTCGGCGGTTGGCGTTGGAGACGCCCTAATTAGCTGGGTTTCTGAAAGTTAATTAAGGTCATGTGCTGGTATAGTCTGGTAATTAAGCAGCCAGCCAGCCACGCATGCTCAGCCAGTGTCCAACGCCAGTGGTGGTAGTACTACTAGCACAGTAGTGGTAGTAGTATTTATTTACCAGCAAGTAGAACGCAATGTGGAACCAGCACGGCGCCAGTCCAGAAGGTCAACTACAGCTAGCCTACATCAGGAATTTGTACGCGACAGCCGCTCGCCGCTCGCCAGTCCGTTCCACGCTCCATCACCCTCTTTTGGAACTGACCGTGCTCACGTACACCGCGCACATCAGTCGGCGCACGGCGTACCGCTGGGTCAGCCGGTGGCGATGGCGATCACCAACCGTCCGGCCCGGCCATTAACTAAGTTTACTCCACCGGCCCCTTCAAAAAAAAAAGTTTACTCCACCGGCCGAACTCACGCCCAACCAACCCACATTGAAGCGCTCCATCGACTGCACGCCAACATGGCAGCGGCTTCGGCCGGGACAGAAGCTTCCGGTGCGTGCCGATCCACGTTGCTTCCACGGCATCCTTTCCTTTGTGGTATCAAGTTTCCCATGCCCCGTCGCATACAGACGTGAACCCACACCCAGGTAGACACGGCTCGGGTGCACCCAACCCAACTCGCTGGCGTGTCAGCGTGCGGGCGAGCAACAAAAGTGGCAAAGTAGCACCCCCACGCACAAAGCGGTGGCATCCATCCGTCCGTCCAATCCGACAGATTGAAGTGAGCGTAGGCAATAATTGCGGTGAAAGAAACTCGCAGGGACGCACAGTGGTAAACATCAACGACGTAAACAACCTCGGAGCCGCCCTGACAGCAACCACAGACCGGACCGGAGCAGGACCAGCGCGAGCCGAGCGGCGGAGGCCGGAGCGCGTGCCTTCAGTTTCGACTCTCCCTCCCTCGCTCCAGCTTTTCCCGTGGAAAAACTCTCCCCTTTTCCGCCTCCCCCTTTCTTTCCAAGTCCAACCTAAACCTCAGCCCCGCTCCACCTCCCCCCGCCTCTGCCCCGCACGCCACACCACAGCACCCACCTCTCCGGACGGGCGCCCGTCGCCGTCGCCATCGCCTTTTCCCCCTCCCTCCCTCCCCGCGCCGGATAAGTAGTACGCACTCGCTTGCAAGGGACGCCGGACCTCGAGCTCCCACCGGCCGGCAGATTGATTCCTACACCAATTCCTGCGAGCCAGAGCGAGGGACAAGCCCGCCCGCGGCCGTGGGCGTCGAGCGGTCCGTCCGACGCGCATTCGGAGGGCGAGGCCGTGCGCTACCACCGGGGGGTGGGGATGGATCAGGGGGCGGAGGAGGCGCGGCGGATGGCGAGCCTGCAGGCGGCGCGGAGCGCGCTGCGGGCCGGGGTGGAGCGGTCGCGGGCGCTGAGCCACGCGCTGGCGCGGACGGGGGCCCGGGTCGGGGAGATCCAGGCGCGGCTGGCGGCCACGGAGGCCGGGGTGCGCCCGATCCGCGCGCCGCGGGACGCGCTCGAGGGGGCCGGCCCCAACATCGACCGCGCCGTGGGGCCCGCCGCGGCCGTCCTCAAGGTGTTCGACGCCGTGCACGGCCTCGAGCCGCCGCTCCTCGCCGGGGCCGCCGCCCGGGAGGACCTCCCGGGCTACCTCGCCCTCGTCGCCCGCCTCGAGGAGGCGCTCCGCTTCCTCGCCGACAACTGCGGCCTCGCCGTCGACTGGCTCTCCGACATCGTCGACTACCTCGGCAAGCGCAGCCTCGCCGACCCCCGCTTCGTGGCCGGCCTCGCCGGGGCGCTCTCGAAACTCAAGGGCGTCCCCGCAGCCGACCTCGACGCCGGCCTCCTCACCGCCGCCCTCGACGTGCTCGAGGCCGAGTTCTGCCGCCTCCTCGCCGAGCACTCTGCTCCGCTCGCGATGCAGGAGGACCCCGACAAGGCCAAGCCCGCACCCGCCTCCATCACGCCGCCGAGGATCCCCGCCGCCGCCGTGCAGAAGCTGGGCCTCACCCTTGACCGCCTCGCCGCTAATGGGCGGCTCAGCTACTGCGTGGCGGCGTACGCCGACGCTCGCGGGGACACGGTGAGCGCCAGCCTCCACGCGCTCGGCCTGGATTACCTGCAAGACCAGACGCAGGATGCTCAGGCGCTGAGCCCGAGCGTCGAGCTCTGGGGCCGGCATTTGGAGTTCGCGGTGCGCCACCTATTGGAAGCTGAGCGGAAGCTCTGTGTTGCTGTCTTCGAGCGCCGGCCAGAAGCCGCGGCCGCTTGCTTCGCGGACATTGCGGCGCGCGCTGGAATTCTTGATTTCCTCAAGTTTGGCCGTGCCGTGGCTGATGCCAAGAAGGACCCCATCAAGCTCCTGAGGCTGCTTGATGTGTTTGATTCTCTCAGCAAGCTCAGATTGGACTTCAACCGGTTGTTTGGTGGAAAGGCATGCCTGGAGATCCAAAGCAGGACCAGAGAGCTTGTGAAGAGGGTGGTGGATGGCTCTGTTGAGATTTTTGAGGAGTTGCTGGTGCAGGTGGAGCTGCAGCGCAAGATGCCACCCCCAGCTGACGGCGGAGTGCCAGGCCTGGTTACCTTCGTCCCCAAGTACTGCAACCAGCTCCTTGGGGAGCAATATCGGCCTGTGCTCACACAAGTGCTCACCATCCACCGCAGCTGGCGCAAGGAGGCGTTCAACGACAAGATGCTCGTCGATGCAGTGCACAACATTGTTAAGGCCCTGGAGGCCAACTTCGACACATGGGCAAAGGCGTATGAGGATAAGACACTGTCATCTCTCTTCATGATGAACACACATTCGCACTTCTTCAAGCACCTGAAGAGCACTAAGATGGGGGAGATCTTAGGCGATGAGTGGCTCCGGGAGCATGAGCAGTACAAGGACTACTACTCGGCATTGTTTCTAAGGGAGAGCTGGGGAACGCTTGCGCCGCTGCTGAGCAGGGAGGGTCTGATCTTGTTCTCCAAGGGTCAGGCTACAGCAAGGGACTTGGTGAAGCAGCGGCTCAAATCGTTCAACGCCAGCTTCGATGAGATGTACCAGAAGCAGTCCGCGTGGATCATACCGGACAAGGATCTGCAGCAGAGGGTGTGCCACCTTGTGGTGCAGGCTATAGTGCCTGTTTACCGTAGCTTCATGCAGAACTACGGGCCGCTTGTCGAGCAGGACATCAGCGCGAGCAAGTACGTCAAGTACAGCGCTGAAGGCCTTGACAAGATGCTTAGCACCCTCTTCATGCCGAAGCTTAGGACTAGGAGGACTGCAAGCATGCAGATCAGAAACTCAAATGGCAAGATTGCCAGTGCAGTGACTGGGCTGCAGCGGAGTGCTTCAACATTGCAATAGCATCAGTTGAAGAAACTCCAGAAAGATTGGATGTACAGTAGTGTTGTGCAATAACTGAATAATCAAAGAATGATTTAATTTATTTCGAGCCAGGCGTTGAAGATCCCGGTTGTGCGGGAGACATAGTAATCGCTCGATGATAATAAGAGCTGCTGGAGCATAGTAAGAACATAGACTTCTCCAGCACTGACATAGTGGGGGGAGAAGGAAACTGAAATCTTTCCTCAGAGCATATGGATGCCCCCTTCCCCTAGATCATTATATTCGCATTCTTATCTCTAGCATTCATATACTCTATTTGTTTTAGGAAACTTATGTGTGGAGCATAAGATGTGTAATCAGTTGTCTGGTATATGTCAAAGATTGGTTGTAATTTAGGTGGGTATTTAGTTGTTTTTATCAATGTTCATTGAATTATATGGAAGTAAGTGTATTACTGCCTGTGACAAAAATGACTGATCAATTGACTGACTAACATGAGGCAAGAAAACAGTCTATCTTCGAAGTTTCGGTTCCACATGTTTCTTTCTTTCTCTTTACGCACTAACTTACCGTTTTGTTACCTATTATGTATATACTGCTACTTCTGTATGCTCTGTTCTACAGATAAATCATGCGCCCGTGTGCGGCGCTAGCCTCTGAACACGAGTGTTTCATGCAAAAAGAATTAGTGTACAGTTTACCTTGCTTGGTGAGCTAGTCAGGTAGCTCCAGAATTTACTGACCTGGCATATATATAACTTTGCAATGTAACCTGAATTTACTGACCTGGTATAGACTTTGCAATGCAACTGCTAACTGTGTGTGTCCAGTCACAGAAGAATGGACTGAAATTCGTACCTTGTACGCCGGTGATGGTTCTTCCTCAACGCGGTCTTGAATCTCAATTGAGCATGATTCTTTTTTGACACTTCGCTAACAAGGACTCCAGTTCTACCAAAAAAGAGAGGAGATGTTGTCTCAGTATTTGTAATCGAATTTCACAACCACTTCTCATTTGTATAGCTACTAAGAAATTTGAGGGTCGTCCATCATCATGAAGGGCTTAAAAATTGGGAAACTCTTACCATCACCCGGCAGATCGCAGCGTCCGCGTCCGCCACCTCCCCTGCCTTGCACGTGTCCCAGTGAGAGCTCACACACCATCCTTTGTCGAACGCGCTTCTGCAATAGGAGCTATGTTTCTGAAACATATGTGGTGTTGCAATGGTCTATGACGGGTATACGTGCAAAAATATCACTTACGAAATTTTTCTGCAACAAGACCTCGGTTGCAAAAAAAATTGCAACAAAAACTCTGTTTTAAAAAAATGCAAGAAAACAACTGTTGCAGAAAAATCCGGCAACAAGACCTTTGTTGCAATGATGAAGGCACGTTTGAGCGCTCAATGTGGCTTTTAAAAAAATCAGCCGGCGGACGCGTAGCACACTCCTTAAAAATTTGAGGAAGTTGTAAATATTTGCTAATTCTGTCTTTTATTGTTTAGAGCTTTGCTGCTTGGTTGCAATATAAATGGCTGAATATGTATGCGGAAATGCTCTTTGTGTCGCGTCGACGAGAGAACCATAAATCTGTCTGTTGCATAATCAGAGGCACCAAGTAAGCTTAATGAGCTATAATTCATGTTAAACCAGCCCCCACAAAAAAATCATACTGTAAGCACCAAAAAAAGTATCATTGAATATTGAAGTATAGATGTATACTTACTTTTATTTTGTACTCCCTCTGTTCCTAAATACTTGTCTTTCTAGTCATTTCAACAAGTGACTACATACGGAGCAAAATGAGTGAATCTACACTCTAAAATATGTCTACATATATCCGTATGTAGTAATCATTTGAAATGTCTAGAAAGACAAATATTTAGGAACGGAGGGAGTAGAAGATGAGTTCATTGCCCTTCATGATGTCGCAAATCGACAAAGACCATCCAGACCTGGCATATCTGCAACGACGCAGTGCTGGCAATTAGTTGCCTGGCCTGAAATAGAAACACCGTTTGCTTCAATTTGGACCTTAGAGCGTGTACAATGTGTTGAGTCTTAAGAATGACCCAACACATATATTGTCTATGAAAGGTACATTTCTGTGAGCAAATACTTCCTAAGAGTGTGTCTGTGCTCATCGTCACTCAATCTCCTTAAATTTCTGTCACTTGCGAACTAAGATACGTGGTCCCCTCATCGCCACCAAATTCCCCTAAATTCATTGTCCCTTGCAAAGTAAGATACGTCGTTCCAAGAACTGATTCAAAGTAGATTTCTGTCAACACAATACGTCTCCTCTTTCTTCCTTTTTTCCCTTATTTATGCACGAGACCAACTAGTTTAGACACGGTACGACTACATTATCATTCATAAATTAGCATTATGTTTTATACATCATTCAATCAAACAAATAAGATGAACATGCCATATTTTACCACATGGTACATCAAGCATCACATACAAGGAAACATAAACAACAACTTGAAGAAACATCATATGCAACATCACCACAATCCTTGACCATGTCAAATCATGGACATACCTTCAATCGTCGTGAGAAAGATGCCCTTGCAGACCACCTTCCAAGGCCGCCGCCCTGGCATCCAGGATCCCGCGCCCACTCGTACCGCTACCCGACACCAAGGCCACCAGCCACCGTGGGACGGGACCGAAAGGCACCTCCTTTCACATCCCCGGGAACCCCTACCCCACTTCCATGACCGGAACAAGGGGAAGACCAACCACATCGGAGAACCCTAGGCCAGACCCATTAGATCTGGATGAGTACAAGCATCGATGGCATCCACGACGGGAAGACACCTCCTTACCACATCCCCATGAGCTCTGGGCTCTGGTCGTCCAACCATGATCGGCATGGGGAGGAGTCACGCCCACAAGCCCCTAGGTCGTCCTGCTGGATCTAGGCGAGGTCAGTTACCCAAGGCTTCTGCCCCGACTAGATCTGGCCAAGGGAAAGCAACATAAGGTGGACGACAGGCCACTACCTTGATCACGACGGTCGCACCCGTCTTGGCCGTGGCCCCCAAGCGTGAGGGTGGGGGGCACCCCCAGCAATGGCGCAAGCGAACACTGGACGAAGTAGGAGACTGCTTCAGGTGCCTTGATGGAGGCACAAGAGCGGAGAAGAAGGCCCTTCGCCACCGTCTTCCGCTAGGGCTTTGCCCGGCGGCTCCGAGCAAGGGAAGGACGGGGAAAGGCCTGTGGCGGTGGGGATGGGTCGTTGCCGATTTAGGGTTTTTTCCAGCCCGGATGTCGTATTATAAAGAACATATATGGCACATTTTACTAACACGCATCTCAAAGCTATTAGAGATGCTCTCAGTGGAGCCAAATGTAAATATGTGGGGCCATCATTGGAACTTTCCTGGCAAATTCCTGCTGCCATATTTGCGACGAAGATATTAGCGGAAACTTCCTGGAAGTTTCAAGATTACGTCTTTGTTGTTCTCAAGTGGTCATACTTTTCTCGGAACCAACACTTCCACATGGCATCACATTATTGGAAGTAACTTAGGTAGATCTAACCCAAATAACTTAGGTAGACCTAGCGGCCCAGTTGCTTCGTCCCGGGGCCGCGTCCCTAGCGGCCCAGTTGAGCACGACCCATGAGAGTGGGCGTGGGGAAGAGTGGTCGTGTCGCCCCCATTGTGGCGCTGTAACCGTCTGCGCACGCGCAGGGCTGGGCTGTGCTGGCTCGCGTGCTGCTCGCTAGAAACGCTCGAATCAGACATTTCTAGCCAGCTAGACCGACTCGGGCGCAAAAGCTGGCCTCGACGTAGGACGTGGTGCAGGGGCTTCGGGCGGAGATGGTGGGAAACGGAAATCGGCGGAGGCGGGTTGGCCCGCGTAATATACCCTACCCCCATTTACTCACTCACCCCCGCTCTAGGAAAAGCCATCCTCTGTTCTTGGCACCGATGACGACGATGACTCGGATCTGCGGTAGCGGCGGCAACATTAGCAGGACTCTCTGGCAATGGTAGCTGCTTCTCCCCTTCTTCTTCAACTCTGTCCTGCCATCCTCATTCCTCTGTTAGGTCGTTCATTAGGACTGTTTATGATCGATTGCACCATTGCTGACCGCACCATGGATGTCGCTTAGGTTGTGGATGAACTGATGAAGCTTGTAGTTTAGGCAGCATCGTCGATAGCTATGGTTCAGGCCTGGATCTTGTTGGTCTGTAAGAAAGTTGTTCGTCAGAATGACAAATCTCTAATCCGGTATGGTCCGACGTTAATCCGGAATCAGGAAAGGATAGTGAATCTGATCTACAGCAAAAATGGCAACGACACAAAGGCTTTGTGGATGCTTCAAATGAAAAGAGCATCTTTCACAAGGCTTGTGCAGACATTCAGGAGCAGGGGCTGCTACAAGATAGCATCCACACCACTGTGGAAGAGCAAGTTGCCATGTTCCTCCATGTTGTAGGTCATAACCAGAGGTTCATTGTATGCGCAACACATATTTTTTTTACTCGTGAACATATCTGAAATCGTGAACATTTTTCAAATTCTTGAATATTTTTACAGATTTTGAACATTTTCTAAATCATGAACATGTTTTGAGTTCATCAACATTTTATACTATTTTCAAAATAAAAATTCTGAACATTTTATAAACATTTTTCTTGAATAGGCGAATATTTCTAGAATCGACGAACATTTTTTTGGAAATTGGTGGGACAATTTTCAAATTGACGAATGTTTTTTTGATTTAACGAACATTTTTTGAATCAATAACCTATTTTGTAACTCACGAGCAGTTTTTGAATTTTGAGATATTTTTCAATTCATGAACATTTTTTGAATTGGCGATTTTTTTCAATTTCATTAACATTTGGTAATACAAGAAGTTTTAAAAAAAATCATGAATTTTTTTGACTTCCCGAACATTCTTTTTCAAAATTGCGAACATTTTCTGAATCCACAAACATTTATGAATTATTAAACATTTTATTAAAAAATTCGCATTTTTTATTTTTGGAATATTG